GGGTTTCCAAGTGGTCAGCCTGCAGTTGCAATAAGGGTTCTGCTCTGAGAGTCCTGCCTTGCCAGGAGCCTGTCAAGAACATCCTAGCCTGGTTACCCATGAATCTCTGCTTTTGCAGCACAGCCTGCAAGGCTTATGGCATTCTCCTGGCAGTTGGTGTGGCACCTCTCCTGCTAGGTGGTAAAGTAGCCATAGAAACCAGGGCCTTACACACAGGCAGCAGAACAGGGGATGTTCTGTGAAGGAAGTGCTCCACTTTAGTAAGCATTTAAGGAATGAATACAAGTAGAGAAAAAAGCTGTCCACGAGAGAGGTGGAAAGAGACTGAAAGTCCAATCCAGCCTTCAGAATGCTCCCCCATTCGCATCACCCTTGAGGAGCAGGAGGGGTCAGGTCAGCTGAAGAAAGCTGAGCAGTTGGTACATCCCTGGGATTTGATGAAAAGTATCTTGTTGCTGTTGTTGTTGTTAATTCTTTTATTGTTGTTATTCTGAGATTTCTAAGATGCTAAAAATCATGGCCAGGGTAGTTGAAGATATGACACAGGGTTTTGTTATTGTTGTTGCTTAATTGATTTTTTTTTTGTTTGCTTCTTTTGTTTTTGTTTTTTTTCCAACCTGACATTCTGCAAGGGTCTTATAAATCTCACATGGAGCTAAGATGTTTCAATTTTTTTGTCACAAGAGCCAACTCCCAGCTAGTGGTGTGGTCACATTTGACGCTATAATGTGGCACAGAATTCGGTGGTGGGGGCAGACCAAGGACTGTGCCACAGCTGCGTTGTCACACCAAGCCACTGGTGTTGTCTGAGTTAGACTTAGCTCACTCATTCACCCGGATGTGTGTATGGAGTTATTTGGATGAGATTAACTACACACAAACTGTCATTGGTGTTGTCTCAGTTAGATTTGGTCAGCCCACTCATTCACCAGAATGTGTGTATCAAGTTACTTGTATGAGATTAACTACACACAGAGCGTGGTTAGTGTTGTCTAAGTTAGACTTAGCTCACTCATTCATCTGAATGTGTGTATGGAGTTATTTGGAGATTAACTACACACAGAGCGTGGTTAGCAGGAACTAGAATGGCTATTTGTACATGTATGTACCAAGCATGTGCTTGGCATTCCTCCCCAGTACAGCAAGAGCATAGCTTTATCCCAAAATAGAAACCCTAACACCTGTGGCTCCCCTTACCTGGAGACCGGGCTCCTTTAGAAGACCCCTGCTTCCCCACCTGAACTTTTTGCTGGAGGAGCTGCGGCAGCTGAAGAGTTTGCCTCCTGTTTTCTTGTCTGGCTACAAAGGGGAGGAAGAAATCTGGAGAGCAGTTCCCAGGAAAACAGCAGCAAATGGCATGGGACCCAGTCAGATGCATCTCCTTGCTCACAGGAGCGGGACCTTCAAGAACTCGTCTAAATTCTCAACTCTTGATCAAGATAGGAGAGGTGGAGGCTGGCGGACATTGCCACAGATCCTGTTTTTAGCCACCTCTGACAGCCAAGTGCATCTTTGAGCAAAGCGTTGCTGCTTTTTGTGACCATCGAGAGGTCTCAGCAGCAGGTGCAGGGGGTTCTTACCCAGGAGCAGACAACCAGCATCACCCCTACCAGTCTGAGCCAATCCACAGCACAGTTGGAACTGCCTCCCATCCTACAAGAGGAAACAGAAGAGATGAATGAGAAACAACTGATCGCCGCAGGGGAGCCCAGCCAGTGACAGGCACTTCGGGACAGTCACAGCTCTATTACTGCCTCTCATGGTCAACCAGGGTTGGGAGGAGGGTGGAGGAGAGGTAGGAAGAGGCGGCCAGGAGCTCATAACCAGCCGTGTTCCCTATAAATTAAACATCAGTTGCCTTCTGTGTCCATCCGCTGTAATTGAAGGCAGGAAAACTGTCTTGGTGATTAACTAGCAGTAGTAAACTTTCTGATCAAAGTGAGTATCAGAAAGTAGCTAGAGAGATTACGCTTGCAAATAAGGATCTGCAACGTGTGTGTGCCCTTGAGGGTGGGAAAGAACTCAAACCCAGGTGTTTAGTGTGAGCTAAGTACAGGGGAACTAGCTCGACTGAGCGCATTTGGAGAACAGAGGTCAGCTGAACTGCTGGCTTAAGTAAGGAATCCCATAGATGGCAGGTTTGTTTGTTTTGTTTGTGAAGCCTTGTTTGGGGAAGGTTGTCCTTAGTTTTGTCTGCCTTTTCTTCCCCTCTCCCCTCTAAAACACAAACATACTGGCACACTCTCTGACTTTTCTGTGCCTGAAATTGGAGGAATTAGTCTTTTAACAGTGGGCAAGAGTTGCCTGCCTCCACATGGGTAGGGATTGCGTCTTAAACAGCTTCTAGAAGCGTTCGTCAAGTCTCAACCTTCCCAAAGTGGCACCTCCCTGCTCCCTTGCCTCATGTAACTCTCTTCCCTCATCTGTATCACCTTGTCCCAAATCTAAGACATGGGCAGTTTATGGAAAAGTCAAACATTCTTTCCTTTTGAAGCCCATGACAACTCAAGATTAGTTGATATCATTCAAACAGAACTGGCAAGTTTTACTATTACCTGGTCCCTGTGTGAACATTTGAGTGTTTGTCAAGGGTGTATCTTCACGATATAAAGTGTAGCCCTCCAGCAGGCACCAAGATCCGGTACTACCCCGTGATGGTCACTCTTCATCATGAGTATGACTGGCTTTAGGATCACCATGGAAACACACTCATGGACGTGTCTGATGATATCTCCAGAAAAGTTTAGCTGAAGATAGAAACCCAAATCCTAAATGTGAGTAGCACCATTCCATGGGCCAGATCCCAGATCAAACAAACAAACAAACAAACAAACAAACAAAAAAAAAAAAAAAAGAGGAAAAAGCAAAAGCAAGTACCAGTGTTCACCTCTTTCTGCTTCCTGACTGGGGATGCCATGCGACCACTGCCACTCACTCCTGCCACCATCCCTTCCCTGCCATGATGGACTGTGCTCTCAGAATGGAAAGCAGAGGAAGCCCTTCCTTCAGTTATTTGTGGCAGGTATTTTGTCACAGAAGAACAATAATCAATGCACCCCACACACAGTACTTCCCATCAACAAGCTGTTTCACAAAAGGCTACGAAGTTTCCATGACCCCGGCCTGCCTCGTTGAAAGGACTTCCAAGACAATGGAAGCCACATTGTCCGCAATCAGCAGCACTTGGACTGAGGCAGGGGATTCCCCTCCACTACATTTCAAGTTGAGCTTATTAGACACGTAGCTGGAGGGCCTTGCACATCACGGAGTAGACTAATTGGCTGCAGCACTCTGCCTCCAACCCATCTCCATCCTCCAATTAAACTCCCATCATCCCGTTGTCCAGGCGACCTACCGCTGCCTCTGACTTGGCATCTCTTTGGGGGTTTGGGGTTTGAGTTATTCTGTAACCCTTCCAACGTTAACTCCACGGAACACTTTAAATACTCCACATTCTGGTTGAAGCTTTTTTAATTAAAGTACTTTCCACGGGAGCCTCGGTCGTCACGAGTTACTTCCCCGCATCCTTCAGTGCCTAGTCTCCAAGCAGAATTGGAAATATTGATAGAAAGTGTAAGCCCTGCCCTCCTGCTGAAAGCCTTGTATCAGGTTTCGGCTCAAAAGAGTACCATTACCTTTAGCTGTCACGGATCTGTACACTTGATCGATAAACTTCAAATATTATTAGAGGTGGAGGCTTCAGAGATTTGCTCTGTTCTTTGGAGAGAGACAGAGATAAATCTTTCTTAGAAATTGACTTGAATTTGCACTCTCGGTCTTCCCGGTGAAATGCATTTCTCTTAGGCATCCAGCAACTACAAGGGGGGCAGATTTATAGGCCATGTGCTTCATGTACTGAAAGATTTAAATGGTAAATCCTTCACATATGACTTCACAAATCATGTAAAGTTAAAAGATTTTTACCGTTTCTGTTGCTGCTGTGCTTAAATTGTAAGGTACAGCCAGTAAATCATTTTAATGGAGGTGTCGTACTTGACTCAATAAAAAAAAAAAGACAATGGTTTAGCTTCCACTCCAAAATGTTAATGTATTAATCAACGGGAGAATAATTGTTTTTTACTATGTTATAAATCTCGGGTGCCATTAGGATTTAAGCAAAGGGTGATGTAGCCACATTCCTAAATTAAAATTGTTTACCCTGCCACACATCCATTCTGCATCACCATAGCTCATTCCGGGTTCATTCTGAAGTTGTTCCCCAGCCAAAAAATCAAAGAGGGACGTCCCAAGGGAGCGAGGCTTATAAGAGAAAACTAATTGCATTTAGAGGTTTTAAATAAATAACATCAAACCCGTCTGTGGCAATGGACAAGTATTCCTTCCTGTCTTAACGTTTTCTGTCTCTCCCTCTCTCTCCCTTTCTCTCTCCATCCCCTCCCCCTTTGAATTAGGTTTTCAGATTTTACATTGAGGCTTTTCCCCTCCTCACTCCTTGTAAATGTGGCAAGCATGTCATGTCTTTAGTCTCATAAGCCTGGTTTTATCTCTACACAGCCTTGCTTTCCCTATGCATGTTCCTCTAAGAGAGTGAGCTGTGCGGCCTGTTGACATCCCCCTCCCCCACCCCCATTCCCCTGATCGCCTGGAGATACCATCTGTGGTGCCCATAAACAGTTAGGTCAGCCCCCTTAATTACTGGTAGCTGTAAGTTCCAGGGTGTGTATAGTGAGCGCTAGGGATAGGTGAGAAGAGGCAGGATCCCCAGCCCCCATACACACACGCACAGCTCCCTAGTTCCTTTCACACACAGTAGCACGCCTATGTTGCCTCTAATGAAATTGCCTTGTGGGGAGAACAGATCAATTCAGCACTGGACAGGTCAGTCTGTTCCCTCCGTGTAACTTGATCCAGCTGGTTTGTTCTTGCTGACTCCTCCATTAAAAAAGAAGGTGACCTCCTGACCCTGGAGGCAGTGTCCCTGGGGCTCCTGGTGTCTTGTAATAAGTTCTACATCCCTATTCCTCTTCTGGTTTTAACAGACTCTCGAGCAGGTGAAGAGGGCGCCATTGGTGCGGTGGACCACGCAGTGATTGGCGGTGTTGTGGCTGTGGTCGTGTTTGCCATGCTTTGCTTGCTCATCATTCTGGGCCGCTATTTTGCCAGACATAAAGGTAAGCAAGGTGCTTTGGCAGGCTGGAGCAACATGTCACCAGAGCCCTGGCGTTGGGGGACCTCACTGTTGTCATTACTAGGCAGCTTGGTGTAAAGGGTGACATAGCATATATGATTCCTCGAGCGGGCTTGGGTGGATAAAGAAACCTTAGCAGCCACAGCTAAGGACTGCGTGATAATTTGGATTCCCTATAAATACAAAGCTGTACGGGTCTGTTTTCCCCAGTCTACATTTGGGGTTAGAGTCAAAATAACAAGGTTGGGGCTGGCATGATGAGTGAGTGGCCTGAGCCCTGGAAGATTGTATGCTTGGCAAACATACACAGCCCGCTCGTTTTCCCCCGGAGACAGGTGAACCAGTTCACTGAACCTGAACTCTGAGTAAGCTGGTCCCGAGGGCCAGAATATTTCCTCCTTGATGTGGTGTGCCCAGGTTTAAAAAGAAAAAAAAAAAAAAAAAAAAAAAAAAAAAATCTTTTGCCTTAAAAGCCACATAAATATGTATTTTTTAAATTATCAGGGCAATTGATTTAAATTGCCATTAATCATCACACTTACCAACTGTGCAGACTGGATGGGCAATCATCTTTGCCAAGGCTCTTCCTCTCTGCCTCATGCTGCTCTGAGCCTCTTCTCCCTCCTGGTAATTTAGCCTTCCTTTTCTCTGTCGGCCCTTGTCTTTCTCAGTTTTTTTTCTCAAGCACTCTGCAATGAGCTTTGGGGGGCTTTGTAGGCGCTTGCATACTGCTCGATTGTGACCTGGGTTTGGGGAAAGTCCCTGGAGCCCAGCAGTGGAGGTCCAGGGTGCTGAACAACAGACCTTAGGATCTGGAAGTGTCTGTCTGGAGCACAGAGTCTGGGGACTCTTGGAGCTGTGTGGCCCAGAACCTCCGCCTTTCAGTGCTTAACTTGGTCGAGCTAGGAAGGTCCAGCCTGGGAGCCAAGGCGAGTGTGCAGAGCATTCACGGGGAATCAGAAGACAGGGGTACATATGTCTCTGCAAGAGAGAGGACTCGGGAAGGAAGCGTTTGACCACCTGCTTGCTCAGTTTCTCACTTTAAGATCTGAAAATTCAGTAAAATGTCTCAGGCTTTCTGAAGTATAAGAATCTTGAGTCAGAGCATAATGGGAAGAAGCCTATCAGATTTTACCAGACAGTTTGAGTTCTACCTGTCTGCTAGTCTGAGGTGAAGTCTTGTCTTCCTTCATGTAAACCCTTGGGATTTGGTGATAGAAATGTCACCAACTTGGTTAATGTTCTGTCTGTTGTCATTATAAAGTGGCTGTGCCAATTAGCAAATCCATGAATCCGGGTCCAGGCTCCAGTCACATGGTGAGAAAGAAACCCTTGTTCCTGAAGACAGAGCCCAAGCCTCAATTGCAGTCTTTACAGTGTCAAAAATTTTGTCTCCATCTGGTGCCCTCCTCTGAAATGGAAGGCATAGAGAAACCAACCCTTATACAAGTTCAAGCACAGTCTCACCTGTGGGTAGCCAGTAGCCATTCATGAAGCCAGAAAAACTATGGTTGGAGTAACTGACTCAAGATGACAATAGAAGCGTCATTGGGGCCCTAATTCATTTATTGGCTAATTGCTCTTCCTTGCTTTGGTCTTTAACCATGTGCGAACATCTCTGGTCATCGGTCTTTGGTGTTTACTGTTTATGCGGTAGTCAGCAGCTCTCCAGCTTTCTGCATTTTAGCCCCACTCACGTCTTCTTCTCTGGTCATACTCCCTGCTCTAATGTCTCGTTTGCTGAATTACATCGCAGCGGCTCAGCTGGAGTGGTACCTTTGGAGCCCCGGATCCCCATCTGTCTCACCCACCTCGCTCTCTTCTTCCAATTGTTTTTTTTTCTTCCCCTCTGCTGCCTGCACACCACTTCGGCTGATGATGGCCATAAAGCAACTTGCCATCTCTGTACCACTTCACACAGAGGCCATCAGAGAGTCACAGTGCTTTACCCCTTCATCTTTCAGGTACATACTTCACTCATGAAGCCAAAGGAGCCGATGACGCAGCAGACGCAGACACAGCTATAATCAATGCAGAAGGAGGACAGAACAACTCCGAAGAAAAGAAAGAGTACTTCATCTAGATCAGCCTTTTTGTTCCAATGAGGTGTCCAACTGGCCCTGTTTAGATGATAAAGAGACAGTGATACTGGAACTTGCGAGACGCTCGTGTGTTTTTTATGAGTGGGTGGAAAGATGCGAGACTGGGAAGGCTTGTGGTTTGCTATGTAAAAACAAAAAGAAAAAAATGTTCTTTGAAAAGTACGATCTGCTGTTTGACACCTCTTTTTATCTGGTTTTAATTTGGTTTGGGTTTTGGTTTTTTTGTTTTTTTTTTTTTTAATTTTTCTTTCTTCCTACCAAGTCAAACTTGGGTTTCGGTAGATTGCAGAAAATTCTGTGCCTTGTTTTTTCATTTTTTTGTGTGTGTTTCTTTCCCCTTCTCCTTTGTATGCATTTATTTTTCCCAAAATCAATTTTTCCCCTCCCTAAACCTCCCCTTTTTTGGAATTGACCTGCTGGGATTCCTAAGACTTTTCCCCCATTGTTGCCGTTTCTGCTTTCTTTTGTTTTTGTGTTGACGGTGACTGCTTTCTGTTCCAAATTCAGTTGCATAAAAGGAAAACCAGCACGGTTTAGATTTCATAGTTCAGAATTTAGTGTCTCCATGATGCATCCTTCTCTGTTGTCGTAAAGACTTGGGTGAAAAAAAAAAAGAAAAAAAAGAAAAAAAACAATGAAAACTCTTTGCTGCTGCCCATGTTTCAATACTTAGAGCAGCGAAGACTAGAAAAGTAGACTGTGACTCAGAAACTGTGGTTTGCTGTGGATCTCTTCATTACTGTACAGGGTTACCTGCAAGTGAGGTGTGTCGCAATGAGATTGACTCTGTCTTTACTGTATCTGTAGGCGGCTCAGTATAGATTGCCCCACGCTGTGCAGAAAGGTTTGGGGTGGAAAGTATCCTCCTTTCTCATTGCCCTAAACAGACCCAACAGGTGAGGTCTGTCCATTTGATGTCAGTGGACAAATTTGAGTTGCCCCAGGAGGGGAAGCAGGAAGGGGATAAGGCGGTCAGTCCTGCTCTGGTTGTTTCTATTCCAAACAATCCATTCACCTTTCCCAATTGGCCTTACTGCTCACTGACGTGCAGGAGAGAGCAAGTCCGTGTATTGTGTGAATGAATGAAGGGGCAGGTTTTTGTTGGGTTTTTTTTTTTTTTTTTTTTTGCTTTTGTTTTTATTTTTTCTTTCCTTTGTGCTTACTTAGGAGGGCAGTAGGATGTGGCCTGCATGTACTGTATATTACAGACACTGTCCTGCTGGGACGCTTGTCCTGCTGGGATTTCCAACCCCAATCCCTAAGCAGCTCTCATTCCTTCAGATTTGGCTTGACAAAGGCAGGAGGTACAAAAGAAGGGCTGGTATTGTTCTCGAAAGGTCAGAGCCGAGGTGGAAAAGCAGCATGTAGAGAATTTCAGTTACTTAATCAAAACTCAGATGTGAGTGTTTTTATCTATCTACCTTTCATACACTAGCCTTGGCCTCTTTCCTCAGCCTTAAGAACCATCTGCCAAAAGCTCCTCATCTCGCATGATGGCAGCCATAGCGCACAGCTACTGAAATAAGTTACCTTGAACATATCCTAGACTGGAGCCTAGAGGAAGGTAGAGGAGGCCTTACCATTTGCAGTCTTTAAAGCTAAGGCGGGGTTTGTCACTGAAGTGTTGAGGGAATCCAGAAGTAGTTCTGAAGGACGAAAACCTAAGCTCTTTCCCTACGTGTTGGTAGGCTCCAGACTCCAAATAACAGTCCCTATGGAAAGGTGGCATCAGAAAAGATAGAGCTATCTATATATATAGATATATAAATATATATTATATAACATTTTCAGTCAGTACTTTTGGATTTTGCAAGGTGCATTTTTACTATTGTTACATTATGTGGAAAACTTACGCTGATTTATTTAAGGGGAAAAAGTGTCGACTCTGTTATTTGAAAACGTATTTCTTTTTCTTGTCTTTATTTTCACTTCTGATAGAACCATTGCAATATGGGGGCCTTTTGGGAATGGACTGGTATGTAAAGGAAAATGCATCACCGAGCAGTGTTTTGTTGACCCCTCTCCTGTCCCTAGGCACTTAACCAAGACAAAAAGCCACAAGGAACATCCCTTTTTCAAGAATTTTATAATGTGCATCTATTCCGAGCCCTTAGCACCCATCCTGAACATAGTGTGACCATATCAAAGGGTGAGAACCAGTTAGCATGTCGTTGAAAGGGTTTTTCAGCTGTTCTTTTTAGAAAAAAAAAATAATTAAAAAAATACAAAAAAAAAAAAAAGGCAAACAAACCTACCATTGTTCACAGAATCGGCATCTCATTTCCGGGACCGCCCATCTTTCTGTTTTTGACAAGTGTACAGTAGTGCAGTGTTCTGATGTAACTTTATGGCTTACAATGTTGACATGTCTCAGGTTCCTGTGTTTTGATTGGTGTTTTTCCGTCTCAGGTAGATTGCAAAGTGTAGGCCCCACCCATTGGAAAAATAATAATTATAATTATAATAAACAAAGCAAAAACAGGAAATTACGGACTTTAGTTGTATATTGGTTTATGTATTTTTCTTAAGTATACAGTGCGCTGTTTGAAATGTATTGTTGAGTATTACTTTGTACAGGTTGATCACTTTTTTTAGAGTGAAGAAAGAACAAACTTGTTTTTTTGTGTTTTTTTAAAGGAATATAAAATAATGAAGGATGTATAATTGATGCCAAATAAGCTTGTTCTTTAGTCACAAGGACGTCCTGTTTTTCCCTCTAGGCCAGTTCTGTTCCTAAGGTGTACAAGGACCATGTTACAGTGTAAGAAACTCCACATCCGTGTGTTCCCATTCGCATTTTGTATCGGTTCATGTATACCATTTTTACAAAAAGAAAAAAGAAAAAAAAAGAAGTACTATAAAATATCTGTCTTCTTAATAAAAAAAATTAATGTCACAAGTGATCCTTTAAATCTCTTTCTGGATTCTTACAACACCCGGCCTCTGGTATCAGCTTCCTCTCCTAGGACCTTGGATGGGGACCCAGAACACTGGCAGGAGATTGCTGGGGAGTGGCTGCCAGCTGGGTTTCCATCCCTCTCGTCTACACGTCCTTGTCCTGTCCTCTTCTCCCCTCACAGTAGACAGAGTCCGGTGATTGGCTGAACGGAGTCACCTCTGGTGGGCATGGTGATTTGTGCAGGTGTGCGAGCAGCTGCCGGGGATGGCCCCTCCTGCGGACGTGTCCACCACCACCTTCTCCACTTCACCCACCACCCACCCACTTTCCTGTGTTGCCCGCTGCACCTGTCTCTTTCCTTGGGGTTCCGTGTCTTAACAGTTCCTACCACCTTCTTCCTTTTTTTTCTCTTTCCTTGGGGTTCCGTGTCTTAACAATTCCTACTGCCTTCTTCCTCTTAAAATTCTCTCTCCTTTCACAAAAGCGAAGAGCTGAGCTGCTGAGGGCTAACAGCTCGGCTGCCTGCGGATTGTTCTCACCATTTAGGTTTTGGAGACCTCCAGGCCCAGGTGGACTGTGAGATTTGGCAGCATGGTCTCAGTGTCCTTGCCTTGCAGGCGAAGTTAGCAAGAACTGCTCTTGTAATCCATGAGCAGAAAATCTGACCTCCCCAAAGTGCCCTCTCTCACCTTTACCAGCTCTCCTTGGGATCCCTTTCTGTCTCAGTGAGGTAACCAGGAAGGGTTGGCAGGGAGAGACAAGGTAAGCTCCAGAAGAGTCAGAGGCTGGGCATCTCGCTTTGGTTTCTTACATCACCATCTGGTCTCTGGTCTGTCACTGAACAAAACGGCACCAACAGATGCAGACATTGAGTGTCTGACACATGGACATTGTGGGGGACACAGACAAGCGGAGGTGATCACTAGAGGCTAAGGTGCCAGGTACACCAGTGAGTGCCACCCCACCCAATGGAATGATTGGCAGAAGCAGTGGGACTTCTTGTGGGAGGGAAATGAGCAAAAGCTGGCAAGTCAGCTCAGTGGAAGAGAGCTGGGAAGGATGGGAGAGAAGCAAGCTGAGTCCGATGCAGGAGACAGAGAGCTGAGAAGTCGGGTGCTCTGTGGACGGGATCTATCTGGTGCTTGCCCTCATAGTCTAGGTAGACGCTTCGGGCATTCACTGGCCTCTTCCAGCTTCTGCCAAAAGACAAGAATGACGGGGAGCCAAATGGCAAGAGCAACAGGAGCCAAAAGGCAAGCACAAGGGGGAGGATGATCTACCGTCTATCTCTATACCCACAAGGGCCCTTTAGGACAGCACTATCTACCGTCTATCTATACCCACAAGGGCCCTTTAGGACAGCACTATCTACCGTCTATCTATACCCACAAGGGCCCTTTAGGACAGCACTCGAGATCAAGGACTAGGCCGGACCAGCCTTGGGTTTAACTAACTGCCCCATCTTTACTAGGTGTGAAGCCTCAGGAATGTTGCCCAGTGCACCCTGATCTTTGTCTTTTGTTGGGTAAGGTAGAGTTTGTTACAACCTCCAGAACCATTAGGGGAGAGAAAAAGGATACGCACCTTGGGCTGGGGGCATAAATAGCTCCGTGGTCAAGCCCGTCTTAGCGTGCAGTGGACCTTGAGTTCAGTCTTCCACATCACCAAAAAGATAAGACATTGCTGCTTAGGCAATAAGGTTGCAGACAGAAAGTAAGCACTCATTGCGTGTTCGTTAGACTTAATGTCAGTTTAGAAGATAAGGCTGCCAATGGCTAAAGAACTGGCTACACCTTGGGCAGAATTATCTGTGTGGGCTCACGCCTTGTGAGTTTTCCCATAGGACTTTGAGGGATTTTCTCATCATGATTTGTCAGTGTACTTATTTGTAGTTGTCCTGAGCCATGTGGCATGCTGTTTGTGTGGTGTCCTCACCCATCCCCTTGCCTATAGCAGGAGGCTCCAGATCTCCCCGGCGGTCAGTGAGCTGAGGCTGACGCACGGTGGCGGCTTGGCTATTGAAGCGCTGTAGGGCATGCCAATGAGACGATGCCAGAAGTAGCTGAGTTCGTGTGCACTTGTTAAGTTTCCCGTGTGCCTCTTGGTAAAAGCACAAAAACTGTCCGTACTCCCTCCAGAGGGGTCTCAAAAAATGTTTTGGCCTGGTTGTGCTCTCCACATACATCAACCAGAACCCGGAGGTGATGCCCAGGTGTTAATTGGTGCAATCTTTCACTGTCCCCTGTCTAGGTGAAATGTAACTCTTACAGCGTGGACTTGCTCTGTGGAGAGCAGCCCCTTTGAGTCTGTCAACCAGAGCCTGAAAGCAATCACGCGGTCACATGACAAGCAGAAAGAGCCTCTTTACATGAGGTACTTGTGGTACGTGACAAACGTGGCCTCAGATTTCTGATACACTATTTCACAAAGATGCTGCAAATGTTTAATCAAAAAGAACTGGCAGCAAGCTTCCTTTAGTGAGGTCTGTATTTTACAGATAGTTCAGAAAAACCTAAGATGAAGCTGAAATGACCTGACCCCACTGTAGAGCCAATGGGAGAAGAGGCTCTTTGCTATCACCCAGTCAGGCTCACAGCCCCTCAATCATGGTCATAGCAAATGCACAGTGAGCTCTCAGCCAGCATTGGGGCTTAAAGGGCCAGCAGTCAAGGGCTGGTTGCCTGACTTGACCTGGAACTTTTAGTCTCTGTTTTAGTCGTTGACTTTGCAAGTCCATCTCCAACTAGGTAGCTCTAAGGCCTTGAAGATACGTGTCTGTCCAGCCCACTTTTAACACCCTTGGTCCCATCTGTCTCTGAGGCCTGCCAGCATTGATACTTGTTCCTCCTTGGGGACTGATAACCTTTGGGGTAACTGCTGAGCAAATCAATAAGGTATCATCGTTCTCATATACCAGGGCCCTTCAGAATGAGGTACCGCAGGTCAGAAAAACTCAAACTGTGCTCATAGGAAAATGCTAAAGACTGCCTCTGATGGGAGCTGTGGGACAGTGTTGTCCCACACCACTTTACCTGGTAGGAACAGGTGGGCATCAGGATAGGATAAGAACACCCCAAAGCCTAGACTGAACATAGCAAGAGTCTAAAGCATCCAGGCTCTTTTATACAGTATGAAACTACATACTTTGGTGGGTTTTTTATTGTTTTTGTTGTTTAGTGTTTGGGGTTTGTTTGGTTTCGTTTTGGGTTTTTTTTTTTGTTTATTTGTTTGTTTTGTTTTGTTTTTCAAGACAAGGTTCTTTGTAGACCAGGCTGTCATCAAACTCACAGAAATCCCCTGCCTCTGCCTCCCCAGTGCTGGATTAAAAGTGTGCACCAACACCCACCACCACCTGGCTAATAGTGGTTTTTGTTTTGTGTTTTGTTCTATTTTGTTTGTGGTTTGGTTTTTCGGTTTTTTTGCCCCCGCCCCTTCCTAAGTTACTATAATGTGTACCTCCCCTGGTGGCCAGTATAGGAACTGCAACTCTTGCTTATTTAAAGGTAGAATTAATTTCAAGACTATTGCCTTTTCTCTGGCACACACGTGCATCCACCCACACCCTCCTTTGCTCCCTCCTAATCCTTTAAAATATTGGGCTGTAGAGTCAGGACCACAACTGAGGAGCAAAGCAACCCATGCCCTGGCCAAGACCTCTCCAGCTGTCCTGCATACAGACGCTGGCTCACGCTCATATTTCAGACGTGTTCGCCTTAAATCTTCCTTAAGTGCTATCTTCTCAGGTTAATTAATCACCAGGCTTAAACTTGCTGTTACCAACAGGAAGTCCATCCTGAAGTCAGCAATGTTACGATTGCATCTTCTAATACTGTTTATCCTGCATTAGTGTTTACTTAGGGGGAAAATTGATCCGTAATTGATATTTCAGTCTTCCAGAGCTGGTGTTGGAAGAGCCTAATGCAAGCCTTTAATAGCAAGCAAATATTTAAATCCCTTAATGGTTGCTGAATATTGAAATGTGTGACTTTATTACTCTTTTCGGTTTGTTTTCTCTGTAGTTGTGTATTTCATCCTTTAAACTTGCAACGGATGCTGGCAGGCTCCAGTCTAGCTAATCTACAAGAGCTGTTTGCCAGACACAGCAGTCCTGATTAAAAAGTATTGCTATGGATGGGGGCTTCTACACTAATCGGTCTCTGTTAGCTAGTGACGAAATTACTATCCGTCTCTCTTTCTCTTTCTCTCCCTCTCTCTAGGCCTGTTTTCTCTAACCTCCTCTCCCAGAATAAAGTGATGGGGGCAGCTATAGTGTCGCAGTTAGGAGCATGAATCTTTTATCGTTTGGACAAGGAAGGGAAAATGCCATTACTGTCAACTGAA